GGGATTGAAGAAAATTTTGGGGTAGCCAACAAAGAAATTAAATCTCGAATGGACAAAAGAAGAAATCACGCACCTAAACTGAAGAACAAGGAAAATATTAACTATGAATGGTGCATTACATCCAAAAGCTGATGTCGATAGATTATACATCAGCAAGAAAGATGGAGGAAGAGGATTACGACAAATAGAAGCGGCATACCAGAATGCCATAATTGGAAAAGGGAAAATACATAGAATCCCATCAAGAGGATCCTATCTTAGCCCAATTTATACATATATTACAATAAAAATTACAAAAAAAGGAGAACTGAAAAGGGCAAAACAAATCGTCAAAGAAAATAAAGAAAACGAGATAATGGAAGAAGGGCAACTTTCAACTTATGATAGCAAAGCCCAATCTCAGAAGAAATTATGTCAATATCTCCATTGGAGTATATGCCGAGAATATGGAATGGATGGATTACCCAAGGAGTGGTACAACCACATTCCAAGCCCAATTACGACAGCAGGTTCATGCTTGGTTCTGTACGATCAACAAATCCACACTGACAGAACTGTGCCAGCTAACAAACCGGATATCATTCTCAGACATAATGTGGAAAAATGGTGTAAACTAATTGAAGTATTTGAAGAACCGAAGAGAAGAAAAACACCAGACAGCCAAAGAAGCAGACAGAAGGCTGAAATATAGAAATTTGGAAGATGTAACGTTCACAGGACATTAGGGAATCAGAAGAACTTCTCCCGTTGTGTCTTGCTTCCTTTTATATGTGGAACTCATTGTTATTATTATGTTTCTATGAAACGAATAACTATGTTTGTGAACAAACAGAAGAATAAGTTTCTAGAAGCTTCTTTTTCATAATAAACACTTGGTAACCATAGTTCTAATGTTATTATTTATAAATAAAATAAAATTATGAACATTTGTTCAAGTGATCACAACAATATATATAATTTTAGTCTTATTAAATATTTACAAAAAATAATTTTGTTTTAAAGTATAGTTATTTTATTATTTAAATTTTATTCCTTTTAATACATAAGTTAAACATGAAAAATATGGGATTTTTTTTCTGACCAATCACGAGTAAGAACCATTTCTCATTATGTTTACAAAGCACGCCATTGGTTAAAAATTGTACTGAAAATTGCATATACTCTAAATGCAAGGCGTTGAAGCGAAACGAAACTATCGAAAAATTGAGACCTCCTGAATATT